CGGTCCCGCGTCCCCGGCCCCGTCTCCCCAACCGCGGGGGCTCCTTTGAAAACGCCCGCTGCAAAACCAGCGGAGCGGGCAGACAAAACAGGCCGGGCAGAATGAGGGAGAGCGATGACTCTTTAATAAATTAGCAAAATAAACAGCATTTATATATATATGTATATTGTATTGCTGCATCTCAGCAAATGACATGAGTTAGGCAGAAACGTTGATTTCCCAATTTGATGCTGATACTGATCCAAAGGTATGCGTCAGTCTACGTACCCTCCTAGGTGATGCCTGATGTTGTGTACTTAAAAACCTAAAACCACTTAGAAATAAAATAGCTTTTTTGTAAGCCAGAGGCACAGCTTCCAATGAGAAAAGTTAAATTACCATATGATTCATCTAGCTGTCTCCTTGCAGAAGTGATTAAAAGAAAGTGACCCAATTTTTCCCCTCTCAAGAAAAGAAGTATTACCTCACCTCAAAGGGAAGGGGGAACGAATGAGCACATCTAATGCATCAGAAGGATCATCTCTTATATTAAAAACGGATGCGATTTGCAGTGTAAAAGTCTTTGATCCTCGTGATAACCAGGAGCTGAACTGATCGGGTTTTTTGATCATGCATCGGTTGATCCCAAACAGGGTAAGTACGCGGCAAAGTCCGGTGGCCCCGTCCCTCCCCGGCCCCGAGGGCTCCCTCAGTCATCGTCCCTGACATACTGCCCTGCCTCCCAGCGCTGGGCCATGGCACTCTTGTGACGAATCACTCTGGTGCTTTCCACAACCTAAAGAAACCAGAAGGCACAGTATCTTTTTATAAAGAAGATATTTTTATAAACAATCTTTTTTGCACGACTTGCCCTCCCAGCCAGAAGCCCCCCCCCTTTGGGTTAAAAACGCCTGACACCAGCCACGACACGTTCTGCCCAACACGATGCCCACCCGAGCGGTGCCCATGGCCCTGCGGGAGCCGAGAACCCCGTCCATCCCGTCAGCCTCCTGGACTGGGAAGCGAGGGGAGTGAGGAGTCAGGGCAGTGCAAGCAGAGCCCTCGAGTACGTAAAGGACTTTACCTCTGTGTTGATCTTGTCAACGGGTTCAATGCCTGCATACTGTGAAAAGGGGGGAAAAAAGGTTCAGATAACAGCAGCCTCGCAGGGAAATAGCCAGAGGCAGCTGGATGTGGGGCATGGGGGCGTCAGGCTGCCGGGCAGGGGAGAGGCGAGGTGAGGTAGCGTGTGCAGTCGTGCCCTCATGCCCTCCCCAGAGCGGGGGGACAGTTCCGGCCAGGACCTCCCCCCCCCCCCGG